ACAAGGTCGGTTGTTTATTGTGGGTATTCCCGAGCCCGTGGGCTCAGCCCAAAAATATGTCCGTTTGAGCCCGTATAAACGAGTTCAGGGCCGGTTTTACCTCCCCGAAGGAGACTCCGCCCTTCGGCGTAGCCTCCTTCGGGTTCCTCTCCGTCCGTAGACAGAGAGTTGAACCGATCAGTCTGTTCAAAAGTGACGTCGTAAATTCTCACTGACTGGGTTCGCTCGTTCATTCAATTTATGTTTTTTAATCACGTGACACTGTGACAGGATCCCAGAAGCATTGTTTTTTCGTCAGGTCAAAACTAGGTTGATGATATTCGGCCGTAGTGGTGAAAAGGTAAATTGTATTTTTTATATTTGTTAACCACTCAGAAAGCGTCTTACAAAAAAAAAAAACTCAGTCTGGAGCCTGATATGTTCTGTTTTGCTGATTGAGAACAATGTACGTAAAGATAAACGAGATAATTTTAATATTTATTGTCCAATGAAATGTTATTGTTAAGGTTTTCTGAAAATATGTAGAAGCTGTGAATGTGATCCGCTTTTTGCACGATAATCGACATTGATGAAAAAGTGGTAGCGGGATGCTAAATCCGCCTTAGTGGATGATCTCGGAATAAAAAATGATTTTACCGAGATATATTACCCTCTTAATTGATTTAAAATAACTATTCAGAAAGAAAATTACAATTACAATTTAAAAAGAAATAAACGCTACTAAAATTAGCACTCCCCCCCCCCGCTCTCCAGTAGGCATGGGGCTTCCGTGCAATTGGGAGGTTCGGGGTAATAAGTACCAGCCTTGTTGATTGTTATAGTTGATGATTGGCAATATAACTTAGGTAGAAAAAAATACAAAAAGAAAAAAAAAGCTCTGCTGAAACTGAACCGGGGGAGGGGGCTCTAACCACGTCGGGGTTCCTGCGTAGTACGCACCGGCCTTGAAGATATATGATGTTAGTTGATTATTGACAATGTGACATCAGTTTAAAAATAATTTTAAAAAATGGCGGATGGCCATGAAACAGTGCTGAAAAAAAATGGCCGTGGCCACAACGAGGTCTCAAAAAACGCAGCCGGGGTTTTGCGGGTAAGATCCTGATTTCGCACAGGTCCTGATTTAACGATATTTAGAAATGTCTTTCGATTGTTTTTACTATTTGGCAACCGATGTGCTACCCTAGGGACCTTAACCATATTTAATTTAGGAATTTTTTTGTTCGTTGTTTGATCTTCTTGTCGCGGCGGAGATTTTCAGATGTGAACGTTGGCCGCCTTGAAGTTCAAAGTCGCCTTTGTCGGAGTTAACTCCTCCTTCAGTCCGTTAACCCTTTCACCAGGGGTCTCTCTTCCCTGGCTATAAATAGCCGCTGACTCTTTGCCTCTATCTCTTTTTCCTTCAGGCCTGTGCAGTGACACCTTGAGGATTTCAGCTATAAACCTCGAAATGTAGGCGCTAACAAGGGATAACGTGGAAACACGCTAAGCACAATATTCACACACGCACGCACACACAGAATATTCACACACGCACGCACATACAGAATATTCACACACACTTCGTCCTTTGTACTGTTTCCATGTATTATAACTTGTTATTAATATATATCTGTATATACATATATTATCGGTCTTGTGTTTTGTTTGCTTTCTTTTCCTTCTTCTTTGGACTTAATCAAAGTCCAACCTTTTTATGTAGTTGGGCTCGGCGGGCAGGAGTATCTGAACCTTACTTGCGTTTTCTTCTACGTCTGACTTCTATCAACAACAGCTAACAGCCACGCCATGAACCCTCAACAAGTGGCAACCGCCATTCCCACTACACCTTGACATCTAAATGCTTTCTGAGAGTTATCTGCTGACCTGAATTTACACCACCTTTCTCTCAGTGGTGTTGACTTGTGGTTCCTTTTATCGGAAGAAAAAAGTGGCTGTCATCACCAATATTTACAAAGAGATGAGCCCACGTCTCTGATTGGTCTATAAATACGAAAAGATATTTTATCCACAAAATCAAAACAAATCTGCAACAACTTACAAAATATCTTTTGCAGTTTTTTGACTGCTAAATCAAAAAGATTTTACACAACTGTAATATTTTTAGAACGCGTCTAGCTTTCTTAAAATTAAAAATAAACTTTTAGTGTTCTACTTCAATTTAATAATATTTTAGTTGTGATCTAACTAATTCCATTTGTTAAAGAAAGATCCAATAGATTTCCTACGTAACAGTACTCCGATCGACAAATTATGTAAAAAAAAGTAGATCACAGAAGTTAAATCTTATCTGACTATTTTACCCACCGCTAATTGGTTAATAAATATTATTTAAATGTGTTTTCCGCAAAAAAAAATCGAAACAGCTCCTGGAGTCGACCACGTGACTTGAAAGTAAATAAATACGGTAACGCGACACTAATCTTCAATAAGCTTTGTTGCGGAATCAAACAATTCGCCAAACAAATTCACAGCGTTCAAATCTTTGAATTTTCTAAGTTAGATTTTCTAACATAATCCCAAACTTCGAATTCACTCACACACCAACAAACTACACTTCAATTTTTTAACATCTACGATTTTTATCATGACAACAGGAATTCTACTCAACGAACATACAGTTTGCCAAACAAACATTTTATTCAAAAAGCAACTTTGAACATAACCTAACGCAAACTTACTTCGAATCAACAATCTTACAGCCAAAAGATTCTTAATATTTAATACACAATTTACTCAAAAGTTATAAGCTTAAAAAAAGTTTATCTTTTAAACACAAAATTGAACTTTTAATATCAACCTGTAGCAGTATTGACGGCCTAAATCAACCCGTACATTTTTTTTTACTTTACGAATGTATAAACAAACGCAAAAGCAACAAAAGAAACAACAATAAGGAACACAAGACGGTTTCATAGCAACAAGATTAATATTTATATTTATGTACAAGTATAGTGGGTTACTATTTTTGTTGGTGTTATGTCCCTTTGACTGAATTATAGTTTTTACTAATGAAATATTTTTTATCTGAGCTCATAAAAAGTTGAATGAACTTGCCGCTCAAAATGTTCACTGTGAGAGAGTTGAAAGAATTCTGTAAAGCTGAGAATATGTTGAGTAAACTTTTAGCATTAGAAGAATTAAAGGAGTGAATGTTCCGTAATGTTTGTAATTAAGTTCCCATTGCATGTAATGTTATGTAATTAAGTTTCGTTGCTTGTAGTTAAATATTCGTAATATAGTTTGTAATGAAGTTTGAAAAGTTTCGTACGTTTGTAATGTCGTTTGAAAAATTTCGTACGTACGTGTGTGTGTGTGCGTGTGTGAATATGTTTTCATAGCGTCCGCCTGAACTGGGATCGGGACGCGGTTTCTTTAACGTTACATTTTTTGTAAGTGAATGAAATCAAGAGAGAGGATGAACTAACTTGTGTCTGGTATTTATAATCAATGTAATCACGTGGTAGGCTCCTGGAAAAGAAGCGGAAAATTTTGATTTGGTCAAGCGCCGTGGGTTGTAACGCTCACTTGTGTTTATTGACCAATCAGGTATTGGGGTTTTTGAAAATATGTATGAAGCCGAATAAGCTCTGTGATCCGCTTTTTGAACAAGTTATTTTTAGCTATTGAAATGATTTAGAATTAAAACTCTGCAAACCAACTTTTCATTTACCAATTTCGATTAAAACAAACTTTCCAGGAAGAACACAACTTACTTTCTTCAAAAGACTTTACTCATTTGTTGAATCAACTTTATTCACGTAATAAACATCCATCTTTTTATCTGTTTCATTAACAAAAAAATATATATTTAATGTTCAACAGGTGAAGGGAGACAACTCTTACCTTAATTTCCAATATCAAACTATGACAGAAATTTACGATGTAAAATATTATTTAATCTGAACTGTAATTCTTTGAAAATCCTTTTATTGACAGGAACACTGAACAAACTCTCTAAAGAACATTCTCATTTTCGTGTATATATTTGTTATATAAATGCTTTATTCTTGTTTTTCTAAAAAGGAATATTGTTTGTTTTATATTTTGTCGTTGATGACCTTGTGCCATACCCAAAGTTAAATGTTTTTGGAGAAGTTTATATTCACGCAGCCAATACAAATGATACCTTCTTATATATACATATTTTTCTTAATAAGCCTACTCCTCCGCAATAAACTTTTCTCAAAAGAACGTGTAAAAAAAACAACCTAGACGATAAAATATTTATTTATTACACTTTTAATGAAAGACTAACTTTATTTCAGAGTGGTAAAATATAATTTTTTTATAATATATTGAATTAACATTTTTTTTAGAATAACACTGATTTTTTCCAGATACAAGTCCTAAACCTATAGTTAGTGTGTTCCTCCTAAAGATAGGTTGGAAGTAGGACTTGTATCTAAAAAAAAACAAAAAACAAACTCTACTGTTCCATTAATATTGAAATTATTAACATTATTATTATTTTTTTATTTATTTATATTTTTTTTTAGAATAACAATGTTTCATTTTTGCGGATAAGTGATTGTAACGAAGTCGACTGGAGTTAATGTGAAAAATGAGAACAATGACACTTTCAAAATGCTTCTTTTTTTATCATAGAGTGTACACAGCTGTCTCCACTGCATACAAACCAAGAAGGGCATGCTGGTAGAAATGTTCAGGTGTTTTCGGTGCTTTTGGATTACAAGAGGTTCCAAAAGTCGCATTACCATTGATAAGCTTGTAAATTTTACATTTATTTACCAAATGGAACATGTGACAATATATTAATAAGGCATTTTTGGTCGAATTATGGATGAAGATGTCATGCAAATTTTCCCTGCTTGCTATTTCACAATTGATGCGCGTGACTTTGGAACACCCTGTACATCGAAAGAACAGAAGAAAAATTCTCAATCCAAGGGAGATAATAAATATTTGTTGTAGTCATGACAGCCGATGGGCAGTAAACACAATCAATTACGCATGCGCACTGGAGTGTCTTTAGCCACATGTCATGGACGACGCTTGGAAACGGGTCGTTGCTAATAATCACTGAGTAAGTTTGTTAGCTTTTATTTTAGAATGTTTATTTACTTGCTTCCACGATGAAAATATGATTTTCTCATTGAAATTACTTTGTGATAGCGAACTGCTTAATTTGTTCACTCGTATGTGATTTACATCCCTTTGAGCAAAAGTTTGTTTACTTTTTTAAAAAGTTAATGTTGAAAGTTAAAAAAACTAGCAAAGAACATTGGAAAATGAAAACTCTATCAGTATCAGTGAATTGACAATAAAATTAAATAATTTTCCCTTTTTCTTTTAACTAAAAAATAACTTTTTCCCCGGGTTTACTTATATTTATAAATCGTTGTTAAGAAAATAAATAAAACTTACTTAATTATTTGTTGATTAAAAACAAAAAGAAATAGATTTTTGTTTAGGAGTCCGTTTTGGTGATAAACTGAAATTAGCTGTGGGTTAGTTTGGGTCAGCCCTGAAAAAAAAAGTCTATGAAAACCTATAATAATTGAAAATCTCCTTATTTGAGGCTAGCTTTTTTTTTCTTTTTTTTAAAAAGTAATCTTAAGTTTGATTTTCTCCTTTTGAAATAATTTTTACAATATTGATGAAATGGATATTTATTTTATTTTATGTTTTTCAAAAAAACGAAAATTTGTAAATTATGCCTAAAAAATTTTATTTTAATTCAAATTGCGAATCTAAAACTATCTTGAAAATAATATCTTCTTCGAAATACATTCCTAAAAAAAAAACGAAAACAAACCTTATGAATAAGCTGTAACAATCATGGAATATAAAGTAACTTGCCTGTTGTTGAATGTTGAGTGAAATCATGAAAAAAAAAAAATGTGAGTAGTTGCGTCTTCTTATCACGTTGTGTTTGTCACTTGTCAACTTGTTGCGTAAACTTCGCCCAACTAAAAGCAATAGCAAGCAAAATTTTCACCTAAATGACGGGTTTTCATCACTTGTAGATGAAAAAAAAAAAAGTAGAAAATAAATAAATTATTTAAATTTCAACACGGAGCTATTTTCATTTTTATTCATTTATTGTCCTTAAAGTAATAAAGTGGTACATACGATAACAAACTGTTCACTCTGACATCCAGTATGTGTTTGTGTATATGGTCGTTCCTTGTCATGGCTTAGGGCTTACTTATCCCTACGATTCCAAGAGTGAAGCCATCTGGATTTCCAACTCCTGTAGGGCCACCCATGACAGTAAGGTCGAAGAGGAAGGACCAGACTGAATGCAGCCAACCCCAGAAAGACCTCAACGTTCTAATACCCTTGGGAAGGTATGGATCCTCTTTTTCTCTCCCCAGCTATGGCTAAAGCCTAGGACAGACCAGGTTCTATAGTCTTGGATGGCAACTGGTCTATCACAGAAAGAAATGGCAACCTACTGTGGGAAAAAAATCTGCCTCATCACTCATGTATCGAAAGATACATGATTGCCTAAATGTGTATCATGCATGGCACATAACTGACTGATACACAAGCACACATTTTATGAATTTTTTCTCATTCCATATTCTGCACATACTTGGCAGTAGCCGAAACTTGATTTGTAAAAATGTGAATAAATTAGTTTGATGTTTATTGCACATAAATATTTCCTCTCTTTCATTCCGATTTTATTGCTCTGTTTTTTGCCAGCTGATGAATCACATTTTTCATGTTGTCATGAATCGCGGCAATAACAGTGTACCATGGACTGAACATCTGAGCAACATCAAAGTTTTAGAGAAAATGGAAGCAAAAAGTACACTTTGAATCAGAAAGAGATTAGTTGTAATTTCTAAGGCAATAAAGAGAAAAGAGGACTTAGAAAATTTGATACTCACATTACATGTTGAAGGCAAGAGGGACAGGGGAAAGCATAACCTACTGAATGAACTTGTGTAAATGGTTGGCAAAACAGGGATTAGGAAAGATAACAAAAAGGCTAACTTTACTAAGAGCTACAAAGGACAGGAAATTGTGGACAGTCATGATCACTCATGTCCTGAAGGGACACAGCAAGTAGAGGATTTAGTTCCCTGTTAAAATATTTTATATTTATCACCATTATCAACTACAAAAATGAATGTTTCACTGCAGTCATAATTTATAAACAAATGACCTTTCAGAAGAAATTCACTTACCTTCTAAAAGGCTGAAGGTGTGTGCCTGTCGATGGCATTGGCTCCATGATACAAAGAACAACCAGGACAGACTCATTCCAGCATTTATAACAGAAAACAATTTATGGAATCGCCCAAATGTGCTTCCTACAGATTAATGTAGCTTGAATCGAGCTAAATGTTGGCAGAGTGGATTTGCGACTATTTGGATGTGTGGCTTTTTGAATTTGTGACTGCTTTATTTTTGATACAATTATATACCATATAAGTGTTTTTAATATTGTATAGATTTGTAATTATTTTGTTTTTGCAAATCTTTTCTTAAAATTTCAAGTTTAAATTTCTGAGGGGTGCTATTATTATTTAGTATTTATTTTTAATTTTTTTTTTGTTAGGGCTAAATATGTCCATCTTCATCCAAAGATGGGGATGTTTTTATTTAAAAAATTTGTCCTCTTGATTTTTGTAGTCTTATGGTTACATTGATCTTCTGTCATTTCACGGCTGTCAGAAGCAGTAGAAATCTTGAGATTTGAGAATGGCTGATGAGCGAAGACGACCAGAAGAAGTGGAAGATGGAGGACCTGGTATGGCTTTTCTGCCATTCACTATTATGGAAGAACTCTTGGAAAAGCTGAAATTGTTGAAATATGAAAAAGACTTTATGCTGAACATGAATATGAAGCCTCTATCAAGGTATTTATGGTAATATAAAATAATTGTAAAATTACCTGTTTCCAGACAGGAAGTTGTTGGAATTCATTAACCAAACTATTACTGTTAATGTTGGTTGATATTTATAAAAATTTTATTAAAACAGTTTTTCAGGAAATTAAATTTTACTCTAATAAAATTAGGTACCTCCACAAATTGGGTATATATAAGGTTTAAAATAAATTTTTTAAAATAAAAAAGCTTTTCTGAAGCTTTTAATTTAGCTTTAAATGAAAGCTAAAGGATTAAATTTACTATATCCTCTAAGCAAAATACTTTGGTGTATTTCAGACAGAAATTATATTGATTGGAATAGACTTGCATTTTTTTTCTGTAAAGTCGATGACATCAGCCATTTTTTAGACATTTGTAGGCAAAACTTAATTTTCTATTTTAAAAATCTTACAAAAATAAAATATATATTTCTGAAATGTTATTTGAGGAAAATTAGCAAATTAAAGTTCAGTTAATCTGATTTGAAATTAAAGTTAATCTGATTTGAAAGAAATATTACTTCCTTTATAGCATAAAACATTGTATACAAGCATTTTTTAACCACAGAGTTTTGTTTTTCTGGAATGTTAATCGATTTATTGATAGCAGATTGACTGCCAAACATGTTCATCGTTAAGTATGGTGTCTGTAACAGATGATAAATTTCATTGGGGTTTGTTTTTCCCCCCCATAAGTGGGGGGACAACCCTTAAAACAATTGACCTTTTAAGAATAGGTTTATCGGTTTGTACATCCATACTTCAAAAATTCTGTTTCCATATACATATATAAAAATAAATTGAAATTCTTTTAAAAATAGCCAAGGTCTTCACATTGTAATAAACTTTAAAATATATGATTAGTAAATATAGTTTTACTTAATAACAATATTTCCTAAGAATTATTTCATTGAAATTGATCTTTAAAAGATTCAAAAACTTTATAAATTATTCAATTTTAAATTTTAAAAAATGAAAACAAATCATGTAAAAATTTTTTTCTTCATACAATATTGTCTTTAATATATATTATTCATAAAAGCAATTAAAAGCTTCTCTAATTAAATAATGTCTTCATTCTATTGCATTTTTTTATTTTTCATTTCAGAACAGATTTTTGGTAAGACCTGGTCCAATTTTGCAAAAAAAATCAGTGATTTAAATTCTTCAAAAAATTCTGCTGTTAACTAATATAGTCACTAAAAATTATCTCAATGACTTTCTGAAGCTTTCATAAAATTAATTAAGGGGGAGAAACATGTAAAATAAAAAATATTTTTACCAATATTTTCTAATAAAACAATTTCAAAATAATTTTATTTATTTGTGAATTATTCCAGAAAATTTCATTAAAATTTGACAATTATTTGATTTTTGCAAGAATTTCCAAATTAATGTGTCTATCACGGCCAAAAAGTGGCAAAAATTTGCTATGCTAAAAGTTAGTACAACTGCTGATGCAAGAAAAACAAGGTTTTTAATCAAAATTTCAACTGTTCTAAAAAGGAGTAAAAAATTTAATTAAATCTTCAAAAAATAATTTGATCCTTCCTCTTAATAATAACAAGGATTTTGAAAATGTTTTCTTCACAGTATGCTGATTTTTTAGTGGTCTTGTGGAGGTACCTAAGTAAACTCATTTACAATGCATTTCTAAGGTAATAGTAAAATTAACCTTTTGCATGCAGGAAAAGTTCAGCATTAATTGAGTCAACAGTTAATGTTATTGTCAGTTGAAATTTATGAAATCTTTTTCTTCAAGATTGTTTATTCAAGCAATTCAACTTCTAAAATCTATTGTTATTGCTCTTTCTTGTATTGTTGAGAATTTCTTTTCAATCTTTTTGTTTTCTGGTATTGTGGAAAACTAACAGCTCGATTAGATCATTATTTTCTCTTCTACATAAATGTTCTGCCCATTCTTGTTGTTGCTGCTGTTGGAAGTTTTCTTGTGATGTCATTTTTGTTAATTGGTAAAGCTCTTCATCTGTGATTTTTGTAGTATCATTGGAGGATCGTCTCCTTTAAGACCAAAAGGATTAACTTGTTGAAACTTTATTTAACCATACATCGAAGAAAATGGCTGTATATAGATGACAGTTTAGATATTTAGGAATGAGTTGGACACTAAGCATGATATCCATATGAATTCTTGAATTTTAAAGCTGTAGCAGTCTCTAAGTGATAATATTTCATCACAGATAAAAATAGAAATTACCCCTTCTAGAAAACACCAAGTCTGTGATTTTCCTAGAAAGCCTTTTCCTTCTTTCACTGCCAAAATCTGTGTGATGCTAGAATTAGTCTTCACTTACCAACTAAAGAGTGTAGTAGGACTTTAGATTCCCAATACAACAGAGGTAAAAACTTGACGACAACAAAAGCAAGAAAAACCAGTCTCTGAATATCATTACCAGTTACATGATTTAAAGAATTTGAGATTAATACATTCAAATAAGTTAAACAAAAAAGAATACATAACACAAACAAATACTAAAATCATTTATGTACTATGTCACATATCACAATTTAATACACACCAAGCAAAACCTGTCTGTAAATTTATCACCAATGTATAATTACATAAAAGGGAATAACATCTCAACTCCTGTTTGTTTTTTGTTTCATATTTTTCCTCACAATTCATTTTCAGCATTTCTCTAAAGATTTCTCTACTACAATTTGGAGCTAGATACTTAAAGTTACAGTTGCGCTTTTTCTTTTACTACTACAACCAAAACCCCACACTGATAATGGTAGTTCCTCCCCACTAATTTGCAGCAGTAGTGACATACTCTACCAATTGCTTCAAAGTTGTTCAACTTAGTGGACTTAGAGAATAAAACAAAAACCAAAGTTGTATATTGGTATTCCAAATTTTGTCCAGAGAAAAGAACTTCTTTGTGTTGTTGTTGCCACAGCATTTTAGTCAATCAATTCCTCAGCCTTCATTAAGTTTATAGGTTCACCTATTTTCCAGTTTGCACTCCTCCCAATGATTTGAATAGGAGTAGAGAATTATCTCTTGTTTCCTGTTTAGGATTAGGTTTCCGGTTCCTCCTTCTAAAGTCTTCTCATTCTCTTTCACCCCCAGTATCCCCTTATGTCTTAGTGAATATGTTTATATAGTTTTGTGTTTGACTTAGCTGTATAAAACTCTCTCTGTGAACAAAGCATATTTGTCATTCCTTTTTTTTTTCAGCTGTTCCACTCCATCCATGAAATAAGGTGTTATGATATGGATATAATAATGCTAATATTGGGGGAAATGCAACTGGGAGAATATTCCTTTCTTCCATAGCTCACCCATTACAGTTATGCAAATCTGAGCTCCTTAGAGAGAACTCTCTCATGTGTACCATTTGCTATAGATAGAGGTGGGGAAAAGATGACCTTGGTTTGGATGGGAACTTTTCAGTACCCCCTTATATCTTCTTTTTTTTCTCTGAAAACTGACATTACTTTTGCTTTTGGTATATTTCTCTTTATTTAACAATTTCCCACCCCCCTCTCTTTTCTTGTGTCATTTTAGACATTACTTTGCAATTGCAACTAATCCTGGAGCACAGTTCTACATGTTCACATCTTTATCTGCTTGGTTGATCCAACTGTCAGGTAGACAATTTAATATTCCACAAGAGGTAAGTAGGAAATATATCAGTATTTAAACTGGAGGCAAGAAGAATGTTTAAACCAAATTTTTTTTAGTCTGTTTTGTACTTTGTTAAGTGCTTTTATTTGATTCTTTGATTCAGTTTATCATGTGTGTGCGTGTGTGCCTACATTATTTGCTTGGAGCATGCATAGGTGCAGAATGGAATCGGCATGCCAAATTCAAATTCCGGATAAATTCGTTGCATTCACTTTCACACAAATGCTCTTCATCCTCCCAGCTATGGGTTAAATAGCAGGGCAGACTGGGATCCTGAGCTTTAGTTGGCAATTAGTCTAAAAGGAATGCTCTTAATTTCAAACTGTAAAGATGACAATGGGAAACCACTCCACTATCTTTCCTGAAAAGTCATGGCAAATAAAGAAAAAGAATCTGTGGAGAACCATGATCACCTGCATCCTGAAGGGACAGGACATTAAAAAAAATCTGGTGGTTAATATAATATATATTTATATTTAATTGAATATTCATTTAAATCATGTTTTTAATTAACTTTGAATGTATCTCCATTTACTGGCAGTATTATCAAGATAATGTCAAAATGGAAAAGACTATATACTTCTAATGTCTCCATTTAAACTCTGAAATTTTTACTATTTATTTTTTCCTCAATAGGAGTAGATAGGTTCGCACTAAAGGTCTTTTGAATGGGAGTAGAAGTTTATCCCATGTTTCATGTTTCGGTTTCTGATTCCTTCTAAAGTCTTTTGCTTCTCTTTCATTTCCAGTAGCCCTTTGCATCTTAGTGGTGATCCCACCTTGCTTGGGGTGAATTGACTGAAATGAAAAAAAAATGTAATTACCATGATTTGGGAAAGATGGCGTTTTTCAAGAAACAGGCTGAACAGATTTGTTTTTCACTTAGATGTCTTTCAGTTTTAAAAATAGACCTAATAGCTTAGGAGAAGGCCAATTCTGAATTCCAAATTTGAAACCAGTTGAATGTGGGGGATGAAAACTCCATTCCATAAAAATCAGCTTGCAACAGAAACCACAACAACAATACTTAGCATGGTGAGGTGATGACCCTATGCTCCACAGGAGTTTAATGGACCACTGTTTTATGTAAATTATTATTCGCAATATTTTTTTCTTTGCAAACTGTATATCATAAATTAGTATTATTATAAATTATTTTTATTTATTAATTATTTTTGAAAATTATATATTCTTACATATTCTCATTTTTTTAAATTATTTACTGAAGTAATAATAAGATGTTTTTATTCTGACAGTGACAAACTCAGGTTTAATATGAGATGGGACAGAGGTGATGGAAAATACTTGGCTTAACCCAATCCCCAGTTTGATGTTTGATTACTTTTTGGCACTCCTTCGTTTAAGCAAAATAAAAAGTGGATAATAAAAAAAACATTGTTCTCCTCCTGTTCATGCCTCCAGCACTGAATGAACTATTTTCTTAATTTATTTTAAACAGAGAGATGACCCAAATGCTACAATATCCAGCATTTTGGAAGTTATTCGAGAATTGGTAAGTATTTTTCTTGTTACTTTTTTTGTTATTATTTTGTGAATGCTTTTTTAACTTTAGATTTCACATTGTGGAATTTGTGCAGATAAAGTTAGAGCCCCAAAATTATTCTATTTACTCCTTCTTATATGCATTCACAGTACTCTCTCTCTCTCTCTCCACATGTAGCACAGCTCACTTCTTAAATCAAATGTGCATTTAAATTTCACATAAAATAAATGTAGAAAAATTGAACAAAATGTTTTACAACTGGGGAACATCTACTAGATACATATCTAAAGTTCAAAATGGTTCCTCAGTAATGGAGAAAGGGAGCTTAAAATAAATCTCAAACTGCCAAACTTTGTGTAATTATACACTTTGACTGGTGGTTTAAAAATTCTAAATGCTTTTCTATATTTGTGAAATATAATTATTGAAATTAATTAATTTTCAAGTTCTTAGCATATTGCACATAATGTATTAATTCAGCTGTTTTCTCTTTTTTTCTCTTTAAGGGTCACAGTTTGAACTTTTCTCCAGCCAAATTAAAACAAGGTTGTGGTGAATATTGTATTTATGTGTTAGACCGCCTTGCAGATGAAGCTTTGAAAAGGCAACACTTCAAATGGGCCCGGTTAGTTCTGAAATTAAAATGATTCAATGTTTCATTCAAAAAATTACAATGGTAAATTGAGAAAAATATTTTATACTAGGTTAAAAGTCACTCTATCAGGTGGCATTTAAGCTAGCTCCTGCAGAGGGATCTTAATTAGGCCTTTGGCTTGTTCAGGAGTTTGAGAGCAGTCCCTAAGTCTTTCCATATTCTCAGCATTGAAAGCTCTTCTGGCTGTCATTTGATCTGGGTTTTCATTTGCATGGGACTTTCTTTTTCTCGCTGCAAGCTGGTCCTTTGTTGGTGTAGATTTATTTTTGTCAGAGATACTGCTGCTTTATGCAATAGGCAACAATAAACAACAGAACTCAAAATTGATCACTGCATTTAAAATGCATTAATGTTTAAGCTTATCTTTTAAAAGTTCAACAATAATTCTTCTCCCACCACTTAATTTAAAGACAATTTGATGGATGTTTGTCCTTACTTTCCATACAAACAATTATTTTTATTTTATGGCTGACTCTTGCTGGATTTTGCATTTAATTTCAATAATTCCCAAACTTATTTCCAAGTTATAAAAATTGTTATCATACAAAAAAATTTGTCACAAAAAATCATGTAAAAAGTCATTGAAAACAATCGCATTAATGAAAACTTGGGAATCCAAAATTTCTGTAACATGAGCTATTTAATGTTAATAAGTTGTGCCTCTTTAATTGAAAAAGTGTGACACATTGACATTCGCATTTATTATATATATATATATATATATATATATATATATATATATATATATATATATAATTGATTTTAGTTCTTAATTCAACATTTTTATTACTTGAAACATTATTTTTAGTGGATGCCCATATCCGAGTAGATTTTTCCATTTTTTTCTTATTTTAAAAAGTATTTATTTCATCTACTGGCCTGCACATTTGAAAAAACTTCTGCAGAATGACATGTTTTCTTTAATAAGTTTTTTCAAGTGTGCAGGCCAATAAATGAATTAAATACTTTTTAAAATAAAAAAAAAATGGAACATCTACTCAAATATGAGTATCCACTAAAAATAACATTTCAAGTAATAAACATATAGGATTAATACAAATATAAAATTTTTCACTTAGCTAATTGATGTTATTTAATGTTTAGTGGATACTTGTTTGACTATATTTTTGTCTACTAGCCTGTGTTTTTTTTTTAAAAACATTTTTATAAAGAAAATGTGCCCTTCAGCATACATATACAAGGTCTGATCAAAAAAACATTGGAACTGGTGCTATAAAAAAGAAAACTACACAATTTTTTGGTTTCATATGACAGTATTGTTCATAATATATCTTATTCATAAAAGCTTTTCTAATTGAATAATATCTTAGTTTTATTGCATTTTTTATTTTACAATTCACAGCAGATTTTCTCTAACTGGGGAGGGGTTCTTGTTTTTCAAATGAAAATCAATGATTTAAATTCTCTAAGAACTTGTGCTTATAACTAATATAAACATTAAACATTGCAAAAAAGAATTTTCTTGAAATTTCATAAAATTAAATAAGTGGGAGTAAAAGATGTAAAAATAAATATTTTTATGAAGATTTTCTAAAAAGGAGATGTTTCTAAAATAAATCATTTGTGAATAATAATAAAATTTATTCCATTATTTGTGCGGGATTAGAAGGAGACGTTAAACACTTCTATCTTTTCTTTCTTTCACTAAAACTAAGTAGTGTCACTGAAATTTCTTGTCCTTCCATGCAATCAAAATAGTCCATTATTTATGAGTTCACATTGACAAAAGGGGGACAAGCACAATTATTATATGATGATATTTGGCCTTTGGAGTGTACAATTAGTAAAAAGAAACTAGTTGCAAGTATACAAACCAAATTTTATGGTGACATTTTTACAAAAATTATTTAAAGTATCTCATTTCTATTTAATGTCAAAAGGAGGAAATGTTTTTATTGAGCCTCGTTTGGAGCCGAAATAGGTAATTTACGTCGATACGAAATGTTAATGTTTATGCTTAGATAATGACTAGCATTCCAAATGCTGATTTTTAGAGGTTTCCACTCCCTAATTTGAAGATTGGCGCAAGAAAATTTTATTTTCTGCATTTATCCTCATCTACCCTTGTACCATCTTCTTCTTTATGTGCCTTATCCCCTCAGTACATAGGCTCTCAGTACGTGGCTCTCCACAACTTCCTGTCCTTTGTAGCTCTTAATAAATTTTGTTCTTCTTGCCTTCAATCTCCCTAACGAATATCAGTATGTTTCCTTTTTGTTTTCATTTTCTCTAGAACTTTGTCATTGCTCACATGTTCAGTCTACAATAATGTCAGCATTACTTTGTAGAACCTCATTTCTGTTGCTTCAAGTTTCTTCTTCATCCATGAGGAGATTGTCCAGTATTCACTGCCATACAGAAGGACAGATATCCCATAACAGTTCAGTAGTTTTTTCCTTGTTTCTAGCAAAGCTTTTCTATTTCTTATTACTCTGCTTAGCTTTTTGAAAGGCATCTTTTGCTATCCTAATGTGTCTTCGAATTTCAATGTCACTCTTTCCATCGTCTGTTAAAACACATCCTAGATATTTAAATTTTTGTACTTGTTTAATTTTGGTAACACTGATTTGCAATTCACACTTTGGGTGCTCATCTTTTGCCAATAAACATGCATTCTATCTTCCTGCAATTGATGTTTAATCCTTTCTTCTTGCTTTCCTTTACTACCTTCTGTAGGAGTTTTTGTAGTTTTCTTTCCATGTCTGCTATCAACACTGTGTCATCTGCATATATGTTATTAAGACTGTGGCTGCCAATAATGAATCCTGGTAGGACTTCTAGTTCTCTCAGAATTGCCTCACTGTATAGGTTGAATAAGTCCAGTGAGAAGCCACATCCTTGTCTCTCACCCCTTTCTATTTTTGTATATCTGCTGAACTCATTTTCTATCTGTATGCAAGCAGTTTGCTGCCAGTATAGGTACTTGATTATTCTAATATCCTTCCCAAATATGTCAAGGTTGCTGATCAGTTTCAACAGATTTTTGTGACATAATTTATTGAACATCTTTGCACAATCTATAAAATACAGGTGCATGTCCTTCTGCATTTGTATTACTCTTTCGGATAACAGTCTGAGCATAAATGTTGTGTCCCTCATTCCAGTGTCTTTGATGAACCTGCACTGTTCCTGTTCTATTTTCAGTCTGATCCTGCTGTGCACTCTATTCATGAGAATTCAGATGATAAGATTTATTACATGGCTCATTAGGCTGATTGCCTGATGGAGTCTACATTCATTTGCACCTGGCTTCTTAGGTAGTGCTATGAGAATAGATCTATTTAGGTCTTCAGGCATATCCCCACTGCTGTAGATTTCATTTATTATTTCTGTAATCTTGTCTATGCTGAAATTGTCTAAGGCTGGCAGCATCTCTATTACAATTCCCTGCCACTTTATTTGTTCAATTTAGCCAGTGCAGATTCTACTTCAGATTTCAATATTTTTGGTCTGTTGATATTTCTGTGTATTGTCAGCTGTTCCCGTTCATCATGGAAGAGTTCTCTGATATGTTCATTCAAATCCCTGATGTATTTTTTTCTTTCTCTAACATCAGCATTCCATCCTTAAATTTTATGCATCCTGTTGATGAGCATGTCTTCTGTCCTGTTAGTTCTCTTATTTTTTATGCATATCTGGTTTATTGATGACTAGCAGTAGAGCCCGGCGTTGCCTGGGGATATAACAGTAAGAGATAGATCAAGTATCCACCATCATAAAGACTGAAAAATAAAATTGACAAAGATTATTGTTTAAGGTTGACGGACACGCGTGTCTTAATTAGTTTTTATTTTTTTATTTTTTACGAATTGGTCAAACCCAAACTCAAACAAAAACATTGTTTTCAATCCTTATGAGTCTCTACCGATTGAATAGAATTTTTAAAGCATTCTGAATGTAAAAATAAAGAAAAAAGTGTGCAAGACAATAAGAAACACTACATGCCAAAAAAAAAAAAAAAAGTGAAGTTTTGTTGAAATCGGTTGAAAAATGTAGGTAGCCTTTCTGTAATCTTTTAGTTTTACAATTTATGATTTTTACTTATTGAATACAGTAAAAAAAATTTGCATATTTTGCTTGTGGTGATTCATAATTAGAATTCTGATTTGAATATATTTTCCACTCGTTGTTTCTAATACAAAAAATATTAACTTTATTTGGGTTTATTAATTATGATCTAACAAATCTTATTCATTTAGTAGCCTTTCTGTAATAATAATCTTTTACAATTTATGATTTTTACTTATTGAATACAGTAAAAAATTGGACACCATGTGTATTTAAAGTAGTTTCCTGTTCCGGTTATTATTTTTTAGTTAGACTTGTGTATGTTTAAATTTCATTATCTTTCCCTAAAGATAAAGAATTTATCCGATGTTTTTATTCGTACAATCAGTAGAGATCATTAGATTATTGTTTAAGGTTGACGGACACGCATGTCTTAATTAATTTTTATTTTTTTATTTTTTACGAATTGGTCAAACCCAAACTTAAACAAAAACATTGTTTTCAATCGTTATGAGTCCCCAATTGAATAGAATTTTATTATAAATAATTGTCTTGTAAATGGAATTTTAAAGCATTCTGAATGTTAAAAATAAAAGAAAAAAAGTGTGCAAGAGAATAAGAAACACTACCTGCCAAAAAAAAAAAGAAAAAAAAAAAAAGTGAAGTTTTGTTTTATCAGCTGAAAAATATAGGAAATCCGGCCCATATTTAAATGAACCCACACACAAAACAACCTGATGTGAGTTGTCCCCCTTCCATTTTCACGATGTCTCTTAATCGTGTTTTCAAATTGATTTTGTGCAAAAATAATTATATTTTTCCCATTTTTGGCGCTTTTAGAACCACCACAAGGTAATTTTATGTAGTCCTGTGAAGTTTTGTTGCAATCAGTTGAAAAATGTAGGAAATTCGATCCAATATATAAACGTTACAGACACACACACACACACACACACACACAATCTGCATTTTATAATAAGTAAGATTCTCAGTCAACATTTTTCATTGACTTATTTCTCTTTAGCCTGCTTGCATTTGTTTCTTATTTCTTTCTGTAGTATCCTGTATTCTGTTCTGTATCTTGGAATGGTTTTCTGTCTTCTTTTCATCACATTGAGAATTTTATCTGTCATCCATTCATATTTTTTTTTTTTTTTTCATTTCATCTATTTTCCTTTGGGGTGATCTCAATTGCTGATATTACTAAAACTTCTCTTAAAGTGTTCTAATTTCCTTTTGTCCATTGTGTTTGCTTTTCACACTGTCCATATATTTCTCCTACAGATTCGGGTCATTCAAGAGTCTGTTGTATTGCAATTTGGGTGCTGCCTTAGGCCTCTTCAAGTTCTGTCGTTTCATTCTAAGTTTATATATCCCTGGAAGATGATTTGTTCCACATTTGGAACTAAGATATGTTTTGCAGTGTAAAACTGCATTCCTGAATCTCTTGATAATCAATCTGTTTTCTTTACTTCTCCTTCTGGGCTTCTCCATTTTCGTCTTGGGTGTTTGAAACCAACTGTTGGCTACTACATACGCCATTAGTCCCATTTTTCTCTGTGGTCATTATGGGACCCTAGTTCAAACTTGCCAACTATTTCACCATCACTCTCTTTACCTACTTTGGCATTCAGATCTCCTTGTACTACACTAAGCCAAATAAAAATTAATATACCCTTACTTTAAATGAAAAATGTTGATCTTTTCTGTCATAGAATGTGTGTTCCTCAAAGAAATAAACCAATCTAGATGTAGAATTAAGTTAAAAAAAAGAACTGGTACTATTTTTATTCAAGCACAGAAAAAATTACTTTAAAATATATCCTCCAACATTGGATGGTTCATTGATTTTTTTTTTTTTTTTTTATGAGGTGGTACTGGAAACTTTTTGACGTAACCAAGAAAACCTCAAAAACATCCACCTCCTCCAACCAAAAAAACATTCCAATGTTTCAGTCATTCATGTGCTAAGTTTTAGGAAGTAAGCTGGGTTGAAAATTTTTCAGCACCCACTTCATTGAGATACAGTTGTTAATGTTTTAGCCAATCACAAAAGAAAGTGTTTCTGGAAGATTACACCTGATGAGGGATGAAGAAAGGGTTAGCCAAAACATAGTATCAACAATAGCAACTACAATGTTGGTTAAGAACCCTTATCAAAGTTATAGACAATAGGGTGCTACTGTAGTATGATATCTACTGAGGCATTTGTGACCTACCGTAAATGACAATACACTCATTATTGCTGGAAAATGCTCAGGAAAAACGATAACCTGTTTACTGTTTTTTAAATGGCACCAAATCACTTTACAAACATTAAAATCACTATTTGATGATTTTTTTAAATTTTTTGTATAAAAAAATTGTTAATGATTTTTAATACATAACCAGTTCACTATTCTAACTTCTAACCCATTTCATATTTCCAACAGTTGGTAAATATCATATCATAGTAGAAAAAGGACAGTAGATATTATACTATAGTAGAATTGAAAATATATTCATTTTAAACATGCAATATTTATGCTTTTGTATTTAGAATATCCACCTTAATAATCTTAGCATTAGTATTTTGACATTTTATTTTAAAGTCCTATATACCCGCAAGAAGAAGAAGATGAAGAAACTATTGTCGTTGATGATGCTGCTGAACTGACTCTTGATAAACTGGAGGATGAAGATGCTGTCATTGTAAGTTTTTCATGAAAAAAAAAACATGTCTTGATATTTTCTCTTGACACACAAAAAAGTAAAAATTTAAACACTTCTGTTAAAACTGGTGAACGAAACCCAAATGAAAAAATAATAGGCAAAGGACTTCAATTTAGATACAGTGGAACCTCAATTTAACAAACTAATAGTGGGGATTGTCTGGTTAAACCGTTTGTCCGTTAATTTTAAGTACTTTTTCTGTATAAAATTATTGTAAATAAATGTAAATGCAGAATATACATACGTGTATTTTATTTTTAATTTACTATATACTTTTAAATAATGTTTGAAAAGTTTTTAAGTTAAATCCAGAGTCCGTTGATTCCAGGACCATTAATTCAAAGTTTTACTGTATTTTTATTACTTCTCTCTAAATGTAAAAAGAAAATAGGATCCAATTGTAAGAACTAAGTTGCTTTAATAAACAAAGCAATAAAATGTATTCTTCCTCAAGTTTTAGTTAAAAACTTGAATGAACCATTATCAGACAACATGTAGGGATACAAACAGTGATTATCTCTCTTTTGTTGAGACAGTCACAAGGGTCACATGACAACTAGGGAATGACATCAAAGGATAGAATGATGAAGTGCAGTTGTGATGTAGAATCCAGAGAAGTGCGTCCCTAGCCCACAGCGGTAGGTCTTATAGAAAAAACCACATGGCCTAACTAGATTCATAGAGAAACTGCTGTAACTCCAGTTTTCTCTTCAGAAATTATTACAAGTAAGGTTCCCCTTTTTTACACACCTTTTGTTGTTTCATATATGTTATAATTTCTCTGTGTGGGACATGTGTATATGGATATATGTCTAACTTTGTATACAACATTGCATTATAAAGGCCTCTCTGAAAACAGGGCATGTCTGTTCAATGGTAGCAAAAATTAATTAAGGAAAACAATTAAAATTAATTCATGAGCAAAATTTAATTAATAAGAACATTTTCATGTAAAATTATTCAAACTGAATTAACCAAAATGTTTCAACAAAGTTTTGATTTGTTTAAAAATGTTAGTAAAATTTAATTCTTAAAACTTTTATAATTCAGTTTTTTTTATTTATTTTTTCAACATTTTAATGGTGTTTTTTTATTTTGATGCTAACAGCTATTAATGATAAAGTTAAAAACAACATTTTGATTTTGGAACGGTTTAAAATTTTGTGGAGACAAAGATTTTTTTTTTCTTTGAGGGTACATTTCTGCAAAGAAAATTAGGAGTAGTAGGTCAGAGAATTACTTTTGTAGATTTTAACCTTTGCAAAGGATTTCATTCTGCCTGCTTTGTCATAAAAAACATCTGTATATTTGTGACTGTAAAACTGTTGCTTTTCTGATTTATGATACAAAATCTCTAGGATTCTGAAATTCACATTAAACATCATTTTCTTTTCTCTCTCTAGGTGAGTTAAAAATTTCTTTAAGAAACAAAGAACATTTGTTTTATGCTTTTTGTTGTTTTAATTTTTGTTTGTGTGCATATGTGACACAATGTAAGAATGCTCATAATTTGAAAAAAGAAAAAGGGCTTAATTAAAATCAAAGAAGAACACAAAGATGAAGAAGGTTTTCTCATTTAGTGAGTCCGAAAACAATAGTAAATAGATTGAAGGACATACTGGAAACAAAAGAAAATATATCTTTATTTTGTTTCTCATTTCATGAATAAGGACCTTACTAGAAGATAATGCTGAAATTCACCTGGGTATCTGTTTAAAGTGAAGTCCAGGGGACAAGGTGAGAGGAGTGCAATTTTGGACAGAGACCACCAAGCTAGTTAGATAATAATTTATGGCTACAGGTGGATGAGGAAAAGGGTAAAGAAATGATTGTATGTCACTTGTTGATAGGGGTGGAGGATGCGCATGTCACTAAAGGGACAAGATTTTCTCAGGACAGATCATTTCGGTCAAGAGAGAAAAAGGAGGAAGTGTTGCGGACTGTTGTACCCTAGGTTACTGAATGAGGAATAACCAAAACAGAGGTTGGAAATGAGATGATAATCTTTATAACATCAACAAAATACAAGACTCGCCAGCGGCATGAAGTAGGTAAACCACTGTTAGTGGTAAACTACTTACTATATTACCTCCACTTACAATAGTGTCCAACGTACTTATGAGGATTGGGACATACCAATTAGTGTTCATAGGTACGGTATATAATGACCAAACATGATAATTAGGAATAGAGAAATGCAGATAATAATTTTATGGTGACATTAAAAATAACATCATTTTTGCATCAAGCATCCACAGGGTCAGGTGAAATACCTATTCCCTGTATGGCTACAGCATGAGGAGCTGATCTGAGAAAGTGGGAGGAAAATGAATACTCCCACTGAAAGGTACTGGTGTGAGGTGTGAGCAAAAGAAGTGTGGAGAAAAAGATGATGGTTCAACATGCAAATTGCTTCCCAGGGCACTGTCAGCAGAGAGTTCTGATTGAATATTTGGAAAATCCTGGAACCCCAGATTGCATCGGACCCCACGCCAATGTTGGGCAAGTGTCCATAAAAGTATTAGACCAAAGAGCAATAACAGTGAGAAGAGAAGATAGACAGAGAGGGTATCAGTTGATGCAAAGACATGCTTCCATTATGCCATGTGATTTGTTGCCACAAAGAACTTCTGACTCGTGTCTTGTTCCATACCATTAGATAAATTAGGCAGAGTGCTCTGATGAAATTACAAAGTGGAAGAATTGAAAGTCTCTATATAATGATAGAGAAAGAGGGAGACAATTACTTCATCAGCATTTTATAATTTGCTACCTGAAAAAGTCATCAACTTAAAGTTTGAAACCTTGACTCTGATTTGAAAATGAAGAACAAAGTGTCATGAAATTAGACTCTGAGGGAATGGTCATTAGCCTGCATGCTTGTAGATTCTTATAAGAAAAAGTGTTCCTCTATAAACTTCAGTTATATAAACCTTCTTGATTTACACAACTTTCTTTTTTTATCTTATAACATCACCCCGCTTGAACGACACCAATCCAGCAATATCTGGCGACAATTCAATCCTTGCCTGCCTTGTGATCAAAACAAGCACAATGTGGGACAAGGAGAGGCTTGGATCGAAGTGACCAACTTCACAGTTAGCAGCAGGATTCAATCACGGATACACCAGTAACTGAGGACAAGATGTCATTGTCATGTAGCGCAGGGGTCAGGTCGTCCCACATATCTATCTGTGTGTTAATTTTTAAAGGTCAGATTACAAATAAATGAATGGGAATATCATTATTCCCATTGTTTTGTTTTTTCATTTATGCTAATGTTCACACTATACAAGTTCCAAGAGCCACTCAAGATAGATAATTACTATCATTGATCTTGAGAAAAAATAAACATACACATACACAAATAACTGGAAAATTTGTTTAGAAATATACATAGATGTAATCTTTTATTGTATTTTTTTCTTTTTTCAGGATGAAATGGATAATGATGATGACTTTGAGGAAGAACCTATGATGCGTCTGGACGATCTTCAGTCACTGAACCAAGCAAAGGTAATGGCTGGGTTTAACTCTTTCTTTTCTAAATTACCAACATTTGACCTTTCAATGGTATTACCTTGTTTGAGCCCTGAAACAAATCTTTACAATGTATGGCTAAATATAGAAACTTCAAATACCATATTTCCTCAAATAAGTGCCAGTCCTCGAATAAGCACCGTCCTGCATCACAAAGTCGTTTTTATATAAGCACCCCCAATAATTTCTTGTGGGGAGTACACATGTTATTTAGTAAGACTTAAAAAATCAGGTGTATCTATTCAAATATGTGTTACTCACTGAATATAGGCCTTATAGTAATTATATAAATAGGAAGTACCAGGAAATTTAGAATAACTTGTAATATAAAGGCAAAGAAATTCAATCCAAAAGAAATCAGTATATTTTCAAATGAATTGGCATTTTTTTAAATTTAGAATAACAGAAAAAAGGTTTATTCAATAAATCAAACCTTAGCCTTGTAGAACAGCTTTGATATGGTCTTAGAAGTGATTCATGTTCTTGTTAACGATCATGTCAGCAATAGTTGCCATCAACAAGTTCTTGCAATTGTGGGATCACTGGTTGGTCTTCTTGACATGACACTCCTGGTATAGTAGTTCAGATGGTTCCAATCAGGTGGCTATATGTTGGGGCTAAGATCATGAAAATTGTTAGCCAGCCACTACAAGATGTGTCATATAAGGGAGGGAAGATTCCTACTAGAACACATATGGCTGCTTCTTTGATCCACAGTGTGATGACTATATCTACTACTTTGATGTAGGTGGTGGTACTGATCAAGAAGTCCTACAGTGGGTAAAAAAATCAGGGTTACATGACATGGCCTTTATTGTTCGCAACTATCCAGACCATTACAAAATGGCATGAACTTCATCCTTGTGGGTACTGCTGTAGAGCTACCAGTCACTCTTCTTTTTCATTTTGTTCTTGCCCAATCACTAAAGTTAAGTAACATTGAGCCTGGTCAATACCTAGATGGATGACAGGTGAAGACTACCAGGTGCTTTAATGGATAAAGGCTCAGAATGAGAAATCGGACAGTCAAGTTTGATTCCAGTCAGGTTCGTTATATTCACTTACATGGAAATACTCTTGGGAAATGCATGAATCCACTTCTCCTCTCAGCTACAGGTTAGATATTAATGCTTGTATCAGAAAACCATTATTATCTCAAAAAATCTTACAATCTAAAAATATGTTTTGGCTTTAAATAACCTCAAAAAGATTGATAAGCTGTAAAAATCCAAATAGTCAATCATTTTCATTTTCTCTTTGGAGAAGAGCCAGTGCATGTTGTGTTCAACAACATATCTGAACTTGTTCAGTAAGATCTTCTATCAGATTACAGGTCTTGTCAGGCATGAACTGTCCACTCCTCATCAATTAGAACATGTGCTTCACACATCTGATAGTGGACTCTGCCACCTTGAACTCCTCACTGATGACCCATGGCTGATAATGTCCTGGGCCTGTTCGATGAACTCAACCATCTTTATTACATTGGACTGCTTAGAATGTTTCAGTAGACAATACACACATAGAAGTGTAGTTTAATGGTTAACAAGTCTACTCTGGTTGACCATTGCTACTGAGTAGTGAGGTCAATACTCACTGGGTGCAACATATGAAATTCAATATCAACCCCCAACAAGGTTTGAAATGTCATAAAATCAACCAATCACGAAATGAATCAGCCTACATACCATTATCCTCTGCCATTTACAATGGTGAACTCTCAATTATTTGAATAAGTCGTTTTTAATCCTCACATTTCAGAGAGCCAGAAATCTGCTGTCCTTTTGAATTAGGAATGTAAAAAGCAGAAAATTATCTTGAGGAGTGTATTTTATCTGTTCATGAATTTTGTTGTTTTTGTGTGCATGTCTCACACACACACATCTATATATATATATATATATATATGTATATATTGTGTGTGTATATGTATATGTGATAAAAATATAGTTTTAAGGTATGGTATATTTATGAGTTAAAGTGTTTAATGTCAGGGATAGAGCATATGTAAATATAATAGTGGACACTGTGGTCAACACCCATCAACAAGAGTATGTTTCATTCGTAGATGCAACCATAAGGCCATATTAGCTTTTTAGATTAAAAAACTTATACCAGTGTTTCAATGTGACATGTCATATTGAAACACCTATTCTCATATGCCTATCAAATGTAAGCAACATTGAGCCTGGTCAGTACCTAGATGGGTGATTGTTTGGGAATACCAGGTGCTGTAAGTTTGGATGTGCAGGTGGTGTAATGGATAATGGCTTGGAATTGGAAATCAGAGAGCTGAGTTTATTATATTCACTTACATACACTGAGGAAAGATATGAATCCACCACATCTTCTCCCAGCTATGGGTTAATTAGTAAGACTTTATCAGTAAATCCTTATTATCTTCAAAAAACTGTTACAACCTAAAACTATTTTCTAACTTTAAACAAACTGCAAATTATTGATAAGGCATAATAAAATAAATCCAACTATTTTAAGTTAAAGAAGAGGGTGATTTGTTTTGTTAGATAAGTTACTATTTTTGTTGTTATGATTATTCTGCTCTGTTATTTATCACTTGTATTTATTATGAACACATGTTCAGCTTTTGATGTTTTCTAGTTTTTGCTTGAAATCCAAAGTGAGAAAATCGTTATTGTTATTTTGACAGCTTAAAGAGACTTGCAGCAAACCTGAGAATATCCTTGAGTCCCACACAGATTTCGCAGACTGGAAACTGGAAGTCGAGAGAGTGACACCACAGTTGAAAGTTATGATCAGAACAGATAACAAAGTAAATATAATTGTTTTCTTTCTTTCTCCCCACTCCATTTAATTCCTTTGATTTTCAATCAATTTTCCTGTTTGCATCTTCCGCCATAAACCATGGTGGTAACAAAATGCAGACTGAGCTGCTTGCCACCACTGATAATGGTACCTGTCCCCATCAGTTAAAGAGACAACATCTATTATGCTGTCTCTGTAAAATGAAAGAAAATGGCTATTCAGCCAGAACAGAACTAGTTCAAACCACAGTATGTGTGAATATGAAGAAATAAGATATCTGCCAGCTCCTTCATGAAATAGTCAGGATGGTGAGCTGAGCAGTGTTAGTTATTGAAATGATTTATTTTACTAGCCAACTGCTAATATTTGGGGCTCAATAAAAGCAGGCACATTTTTTGAAAAGGAGCAGTAGGCAGTGTGTCAAGATGAGTGTATGACATGATTGCCGTGTGATATCAAAGATTTCTGCCTGAGGTAAAGTAGGAGAGTTACCTAGCACCATCTGAAATTCATTTGCCCTTGCTTTTGCTGTCTTGGCTACATTCGTCCCTATCATCTGGTGTTTCTGTGTGGAAGTCCTGTTCATGCCTTGTTTGTCTTAATCCCATATTCGTCTCTTTTCATGTTTGTTTTCGGTGCTGCTAATTTTTCTGTCCCTCCCGAGCTGTGAGATGCCTATTCATGGCAGATGAGAAGAAAAACCATCATAAGCCAGAAAATAATATCCTTCTTTATGATAATACTCCTTGTATCCATTGTATGTTTGTCTGGTGGTGTTGTTTTGCAGTTGGCTGACAGTCATATCACAGTGAAACACCGGTTCAAAATATAATCATCAAAGTTAAACCACATTGAGCCTGGTCAGTACCTAGATGGGTGACCACTTGGGAATACCAGGTGCTGTAACCTTGAATGTGCAGGTGGTGTAATGGACAACAGCTTGGAAATTGGAGAACTGATTTCCAGTTGCACTCAGGTTCTTTACTTATGCGCAAATACCATCGAGAATGGTATCAATTCAATTCTTCTCCCATTCTCATGTAGGGAATAGGCTACTTTGGCAGGAAAATAAAAGTGATTGTCTGTCTTTTCAACCCTGATATGAAATGGGATTCACATCAGTAGAGCTAGAGGAAGCAGGAAGTAAAAGTTAACTGTAAGGAAGAAATATTACTTCCTTACTGTTAACTTCCTAGCTCAAGTGTATTCACAGAGATAAAAGCATACTTGACAAGAAATGAACACAAATAACAGGAAAAGCATGGTAAATTGTATGTTAATTTCATACAATTTATTTATATCTTTTCTGTGTATTGGTGTGTGTATTTTTCAGGTTACAATTGTTTCATGGTACATGTGATAAAAGGAAGAATTTATTCTATAGTATTACAAGACATATCACAGAGATAAGTCAGACACATGTTGCCCATACTAAGGTTCATGGTGAAGAGGTTGCTGGGATATCCATATTTCCAACAGGAACAGTTTTTGTTACATGCTGGGAGTATTTTATTTTTTTTATTTAATTTATTTTATTCAACGTTTTTATGTTATTGTTTTATTTCATTTTAGTTATAATTTTCATTATTATTATTATTTTATATTTTATTTTTATTTATTAATAATAATAATATCCTCACAATAACCATTAACAAGTCTAGTCTAAAACACTAATAACTTTATATTTACAATGTTCTAAAAATTAATACAGTTGTATTAAAAATAATGCAATATTTTCCATTTGTCAATTTATAAAGAAATAAATGTAAATATTTTTTAGTCATAAATTTATAAACATTTACTAAATTATTAAAATATGTGAACCAACTATAAAAAAATGCCTATTATTTACCATTTTATAAAGTTTGAATCATTTGACAATTAGCCAATGTTTTGCTAACCATTCTAATAAACAATATAATAAATAGTTTAAATAAAAAATCTATTAAAATAAATAGTGTTTATTGTTTTTGTTGTCATTTGTAAAGAACAAAGAAATGTATAAATTAACTTTCATATGTTTAGGTTTTATTAAAATTCTAATCATCATTTTTTAAAACAAATTCTCTCAATGTGGTTAGTTTGTTTAAACTGATTATCATTACAGCAAGATTTACTGCACAATTTCCAGATCTTATTTCTGCCTCAGTATATCCTGTTTACAATCTACTCAGTTTAAGATGCTGCAAAATGCTTCCAATATTTGCTGTTTTTGTTGACAGGATTGGCGGCTGCATGTTGACCAAATGCATCAGCACAAATCCAGCATTGAGAATTCAATGAGTGAAACAAAATCTTATCTCACCCAATTGCAAGATGAAATCACCCACACACTTGAAAAGATTGCCAGTCGCGAAAAGTATGTCAACAAACAACTCGATCATGCATTGGTTGATTATCGAGCCATTCAGGACCAGTTGGCAGAGATCAAAGAACGATATCGTCAGGCAAGTGGAGGACTCACAGAACGTTCACGTACTTTGGCAGAGGTGAGATGAAATTTTCTCTCAATTATTTAAGACTAAAATATTCTTTCTCTAATTAATTACAATACCAGTCTGACATGATTCTTCGCAAATAATTCTGTTTTTTGGATTTTTAATAAATTTCGTAATGTTAAATTTCCAAAATAAATAACAGTAAAAACCAGCATCATGGACAATCTCCTAAATTTTTCTGAACATTTTGATGAAAGCACCAAATGCCTGAGAATAAGTATATGCACAAAAAGTCATTAACAAATGATTAAGACCACCTTCTAATTTTATTATATTAAGATTAAAAACTATACCATAATGAGTAATTTCTGAGAGACTGACACAATTTTAGTCAAAAAAAAGATAATGTTCTCAGTTCATTCTACTTACTGCTGGAATAGTCCAGCAGTAAGTATTTTGTCTGACCTCCTTTGCTTTTGATTTCTGCTTGAATGGGTGGGGCAAGCTGAGAATCCAGTTGTTACACTAGTCAGCTCAGATTTCTTTTGTCCAAATATCTCGGTGCTTGAAAATTGTTTTTCAGCAACTTTGTTTTTGACAATTTCCCATAAATTTTCAATAAGGTTCCCTGGCCAGTCCAGTATTGTCATGTTGATCCTGTTAAAAAAAAATTCTGAACGTCCTTTAACTGATGGCATGGAGCACCATCACATATAAGTATTGTGCACTGAGGAATGTGCATATGTAGTCACAGTGTCTCTTGATGTATTTCCATATACTTTGCACTATTCATTGTTGTCCCTCAAGGCAAGTCCAGCCGTTCCAGAATTTGGACATGGTGCTCCATAGTCTGAATAGTATATTTTTTATCAAATCTCCATCCAAGGGTCTTATGTTTCTGCTACCCAAAATGGGCTTACAGAATAGATTCATCTGGAAACATAACTTGGCTCCAGTCTTCAGCAGTCCATTTTAGATTTCCCAGCTGTAGTTAACCGTTTTTACAAGCTGATTTGATCAAACTCAAATCTCAGAAGACATTAAACTATCATAGAACTTTTTAGCATTCATGAAGCTGAACAGCGTGTATCTTCTTAAAAGAACTTATTGGGGATTCATGTGACAGTGTGCTTCATCAAATGGCCATCTCTAGTATTGGTTTTTCTAGAAATTTCATTCCTCCTGTTCTCATTAAATGTCCCTGAAATTTGGAAATTCACAATAGCACTAGGCACTGTTATTTTGCTGCAACCTCTTTTTATACTGATTTCATGTTCAGAATAGCCTTCATTGTGTAAAACCAAAATTTGGGTCCCTTATGTAGATAGCAGTGAAGATATATTGACCATATTCTAAGCCTACACAATTACTATCACAATGGCTGCTACTTTGGCAAGGACAAAAATGTTTCGAACATAAATAATGCGTGAATAATGCTGATGCATTAAGAGAGCAATGTTATATGATGCAACATAATGCAAAAAAAATAAACATCCAAAAAATAACCTTGTTACAGCTTGGTGGTTTTGAACTCTTGCTAATAGTCGTATTTTGAAGCGATACACATCAACACCTTGTGATATTTCACCAACACTGAAAAGTCAGTAGCAAATGAACTCCACAGCACTGTTCAATTCCTTCTTGTTACAGTATAAGCCACAGGTTGGCTCTGTGGGTGTTCAATACTTGCAATGCTAACCTGTGGTCTATACAGTAACTATGCTAAGCAGATCTTAGTTACAGTTTCTGGGAAAGAGTGCATAATCTGGTGTGATTAACAGTTTTGTATAAGGACAGTATGTTCAAACCCTCAGTCATGATGTCTTGCCACTTTGTGCAAGCACAACCATTGATGAATTCCGAACAGTTTTGTTTTCCCAATTTCCCACACAAGACTTGACAGTTTTCAGGCACCTCCCAATGGTGCCACACTCTGGGATCATCTATCCAGGCCAATACTATCATGAAGTCAACGCCTTGAAAAAATTGACAATGAGGAGATTCAAACCCAAGGCTCATGGCTGGAATGCTAATGTTTTAACCGCTTGTCCCCCTCCCAACACACACTAGTTGGATGGGACAATTGTGGCTGAAAAATTCTAGTCCTGACAAAATAATATTTCTCAAAAAATGATTGTGAATCTTCACATAAAATAAAATGTAATATGTATCTATGTGTGCACACACACACACACATCTCTCTCTCTCTCATATATATATATATATATATATATATATATATATATATATATATATATATAGTGTATTTTTTGTGGATGTAATGCATTTCTAAGTCACCAGATAAGTTTAATACATTGAGATGGACATTGTTGGAATGGTATTATTTTTAGCTCACAGATAAATGGATGCTAATGTTGCGATTGTGTTGTCCTTATAAAATGTCAAAACCTTAAACATTACCATCACTTTTTGATAGCATTTGCAATCTAGTGTGTGTGTTGGGGACAGCTAGAAAGTTCGTAGGTTGACCAAAATACCAACATGGAATGTGCCCAAATGAGGCTTATTTATCTACTTTTACAGTCCTCACACTTCTATCACATCATTGTTGCAGTGCTTGTATCCCATTGGTGTAGAAGCTTTCATCTTGTTAGTTAAAAAAGTTATCAATAGCAGATATGACGTCATCATCACTGAGATACTGGTTCCCATCCAAATGTTTAGTCAGACAGGGGCAAATCAAAACAATAAGTTGGGTATCAACCAGTTGAAAGCCACAATCACACAGTGCAGCTATTAAAACCAATGTACTGCATTGTATCCTGATGAAACAAGCTTTTGTCACAGGATATGCTAATAGCATTGGCTATTTGATTTATAGTCAATCATCTGCCATCCATCACCATGTGGTGAACATGATCAATGTTTTCCTCAGTGGTGACAGTCACAGGATGCCTAGGCCTTGGGTCATCTTCAAAACTTTTCCTTCCTCTCCTAAATTTAGCTGCCCACTTTTGTACTGTTGATAAAACTGGTGCATCATCCCCTAATGTTGCAATGATGTCAATATGAGTGTCCTGGAGATTAATCCCTTTCTCTGCAGGTACCTGATAACATTATGATGCCATCGCTACTCATTACTTTTGAAGTCTTCTTTGAATAGTCAGATGTCAGTTGCCTTGGAAAGAAACAATTAATAAGAGGAGTTGAAATTAATGCATGCAACATTTCACAGCTCTAGCATCACTCCATTATAGTTAGCCTATGAACTTTTAAGCCAACCTTCATAGATATAAGTGTTAGTAGGATGCAGAATAATATCTGAATAAAAGTGGAGATAATGAAACAAAGTGGAAAAGTTATTCAAACAAAGCATTTCACCTCTTCACATGCCATCTTCAGGTTGGAATCAGAGACAGATTAATGCGTAAGGAAAAGTGCAACAGAATTTCAGTGAAGAGGTAATCAGTATCCTTATCAGATAAAACTATAGCCAGAAAAAAAATGTTCCTTATTGAAGTCATTAATGTTGGCTTGATTTAAAATTAGCCCATGCCAAGTAGATCATTTTTTTTCTCTCTTATAAATGATTCCTCATAATACTGTGACTTAGTTTGAATAACATGTTTTGCCATACCAGTTATTTTTGTTTTTGCAGTCAAGTCAAAAGTATGCTGTTGACAGGTTTGAACTTTTGAAATTAAAATAAAATATACAAATCAGGCTTTTGAATATCCGCTTTATTTTGTTTGAGAGTTTTTTGTCTTTTTTAATTGCTCATTAATTATATGATGATTTGTGTTAGTAGACATTATGGATAAGTCTGAGAAAAGAATAAAATTAGTCCAAACATATACTAAACATAATATTTATTTATTGAAAAACAATACACAATATATAAAAATGTTTACCTTTTGCGAATGTGTTCTATTTTGTTATAGAACAATTAATGTTCTGCTTTCGAAAAGATCCAGCATATGGTGTTAGCTGAGGGACAGATAAGTCCTTGTTGTCTGTTCGACACCTGGAGGTGAAAAGAGACCCAGGGTTTTCATTTTTCCCCATTGAGGTAGCAATAAGATGGTCTCTGATTGGGCAGTTTTGTAACCAATCGGAACTCCCATACATGTAGGGTTTGCCAGAACTAGACTGAGCCTTAAATCCTGTTGCTGTTATGTGTGATCTTTGACTAGCATCTGCGTGTGTGTTAAATTATATAACTTGCAACAATCATTAGATCTATTTATCTTTTTTCAAACCATTGTTGATCATGAATAAAACTGTGATGTTTCTTTGCTAATGCATCCATTGAACTTCAGACTCTGTTTCTATTATTTCATTTATTATTCAGGTAACAGAGGAACTTGAGAAAGTCAAGTCTGACATGGAAGAGAGAGGAAATACAATGACTGATGGTGGTTAGTAATTACTTACTTTTGACATTGTCAAGAAAGATACCAAACTATAAAGATTTTATATGGCACCTGAAACATTTGCTGAATTAAACCATCTTCAGTAAATAGCTGTATTCATAAAGTTTGCAATGAAGAACTCACTATGAATGGCTTACAAGACTATCTTAGTGCAAGCTGTTCTTGACATGTCACAACTGTTAACAAGCATTATTAAAGATGTATGAAATTAGATTGAGATTAATGATGCTGACTATCCTGAATCCAACATAAAAATTCAGAATGTGGAATTTTCCCCACTGAGCAAGGTAAAAGAGTCACTAACATGCAGGGGTTACTGAGCATGAAAGAATATAAGAAAAACATTATTAAGGAGTGAGAACAATAAAAGAACAGAATTTAAGGACATAGGATAATGACTGACATTTCATTTAAATTTTTGAAGATCAAACTTGACTGGAAAGCAAGAAACCAGAAGAGAGTCCCACAAGCGAGAAGTGTGAGAGAAGAAACTGTTAGCATAGAACTTATAGTTAAATCTAGCATGTAGCATTACATATTGCATAATTATAGAGAAAAAATGATGAATCATTTCACCCCAAGCAAGGCAATAAAGCAACAAAAACACTGAGTGTGAAAGAATATAAGAAAAATAAGACATTATTAAAAGAACAAGAATTTAAATCCAATGTCAATCATTATCCTCCATCTAAGGAGATGAAGGATAACAACATTGGATTTAAATTTTTGAAGATCAAACTTGACTGGAAAGCAAGAAGCCAGAAGAGAGTTCCACAAGTAATGTGTGAGAAAAGAAATGGTTTACATAGAACTTACAGTTACATCTAGCCATTTCTACTGCAAAATGATGAGATCTTGCCACCAGTCTGGTAATTCATCGAGTCTAGGTATTATAGATGAGAGTTCATCAGATCATTTACCATGAAATTATTTATAGAAAATGCATAAAGAAGTTACATTACGGTGCTAGAGAAATGACTGCGGTTGAGATGCCAGATTAAGACCAATAACAGTGCAGATACAATTATAATATGCCATTGAACAATACTGGTGTCAGATGCATTCAAATAGCACTTGCACTAATAGTACTTGCTCGATAATAATCACTCAGATAGTAATCCATATAATGATCCAAAAAGAGAAATAGTATAGTGATTAGAGTAGAGAATAGTGGTCCGTATAGTATAGAGGATGAACTAAAAATGCAGATCAATTAGACACATGCTACCGCCCACATATGCGTTTCCTCTATGGTCATGTCGTCTATTTAATTCAATAATGGGATCACCTGTGTTTGCTCACTGGTGATCTATGTTCAAACTCAAGTGTTGGCAGTGACACTTTATTCCTATATAACAAGATTCTTCCTTGGATTTTATCAAGGATCTCTAAATATATAAGCAGTAGTTCCAGACCATATGCTGCAACAATATTCTAAGCATGTGCGAATGGTAGACTTGTTGATATGTAAAATAGATTCTAACGAGAAAAATTGTCTAGCACAACACAGTGGGCTAACCTTGATTCAACAAATTTTAAAACCTTTAAAGACTTCATTGTATGAAACCATTATTTTTAATTTCTTTTTTCAATCATTTCATCTCAAGCAAGGTGATAAATAATTTATTAGGGTTTACTGAGAGTCAAAGAAACTAAGAAAATGTTATTGAGGAAAAAAGGACAGGATTCAAAAAGACAGATTATGATTCATATTGCATTTGAATTTTTGAAGATCAAACTTAACTTGAAAGCAAGAAGCCAGAAGAGAGTTTGACAGGTGAGGAGTGCATGAGAAGAAACTATTAGAATAGAACTTACAGTTACACCTTGCAATTTCAACAGTAAAATGATGGGACCAACTGCCAATCTAGTACTACACTTAAATTCATGAAGTCCAGATACCAAAGAGGAAAGCTCATCAGAACAGTTACCATGAAAATAGATATAGAAAAGGCACAGGGAAGCTATATTATGGCAGTGGGAAAGTGAATGAAGCTGAGATGCCAGGTTAGGACTGATAATATTGTAGCTTCTTTGATTTTTGTCAAGAATCTTTAGATACATAACAGAAAAACCAAACCAGATATGGCAACAGTACTCATTACACAGACAATTGGTAACCTTATAAAGGTACAAGATAGATTCTGTTGGGAAAAATTGCCCAGTTTGACACAGTGAAAAATGTGAAACAAATTTAGTATAGAAGATAAGAAAGTTGAGCACAGTTTTGTTTGCACTAGAAAGGAATATAGTTTTGCCCATCACCATGAGGTGCTACAAAACGAAAATACTAATCTGAAAATATGAGACCTGTTCTTTTATATCCTTATCAGTTCTAGACTTTCGTATTGATGGTGTGCATGATGCTTAGCTCATTCGAAAATGTCTAAACTGTTAGCTGTATACAACCGTTTTCTCAGATCAATGATTAAAACTGGTGTCAAGTAAATGAATCCTTTAGAGCTTAAAGAAGTGGATCCTTCAACAGATCCTATAGACCAGAGATGGTGAATCACTGACCCATGGGTCATGAACTGACTTTTAGTAACCTAAAAGAGTCGCTGAAATAATATCATGAACTATATAAAAATCAACCACTAGGAATCACCTTTGTAATAAAGCTGTTAGTTTTCCACACAACCAAAAACAAAAGGTTTGGAAGGAATTTTTCATCAGTATGAGAAAGAACGATAACAGTGGACTTTAGAAGTTCGATTTCCTGAAAAACTGTTTCAAGAGAAAAGATTTTATAAACTTCTACTGACAGCAACATTAACTGTTCACTCAGTGAATGCTGAATATAGTTGAAAGTAATATAATTTCTATCTCTTGTATTTTCTCTGTGTAAGTCTTCCATTTCAATGAGCTACTTTGTTAAATGATTGATTAGTAGTGGATCAGTGAAATATATAGCACTAGATTCGGTACCGTGCAGTGGTATATCGCTGACCCACCACACTTCACCTTTTATGATGCTCTGGGATTTGTCATCAAGAGGAAAAGATGGGAATGCATAGAAGACTGGATTGTTAGTGAAGATAAAAAGCAAAGACAGTTGTTTTCAGTAAGTTAGTTTATTGACCATTGATACAATTCTTCAGGTGTCAAAGTATTTGAGGTAGATATGTGACTGATTATCCCTTCCCTAAGCCTTCACATGGAAATGTAATAGCAATCTTTCATGAATGTGCAGGAGAGTTATAACTCTGTTTAAATAATTATAAGCTCCTTAATATTTATACATACAAAAAATACTTGTAGAAAATGAAAAACAACATGGCATGGAAACAACAAAACTATTATTATCTGGTTGACAATGGTTGTTAGGTAGCATTAGAGTCACGAGAGACAGTAATACAGAGTAAATTGTAAATAGTCTTTCATGTATGTTTTTTTTTATATAATGTATGTAGTGAGTGTCCGGAAAATTTAGTTAGAGAAAAAAAAAGTCTGGAGTTTTCTTACCTTGAATTTTGGTTGTGACTGTTAAGAAGGGACAAATGTTATCATTGTGGCCTGAAAAGGAAAGGAAAGCTGAAATTTTGGTCAACCCTCATGTTGACTGCCTGTCTAATAGTAAGGGTGTCACATGCTTGTAGTAGAGGAGAAGAGTGGGGTTAGTTCTCATTGGTTTAGGAAAAGTGAATCATATTCATGATAATTATAATTTTTGTAATTATTTTATTATAATTATTTGCAACAGTATAATTAATTTTTATTTATTTATTTTTAATGGACACAACAAATAGAACTCACAGTAAAAATCCATTATGATGATTCTTGATGCAGATCGGAACCGTCCATCTTGCATTCTCCAACTGCTCCGTCTCTCAAAATCTTGCAGAATATATAATCAGTATCTATGAAGGCTTCTAAACAAGGATTCTCCTTGGTTCCAAAACATTTACCTGAATAAGAATAGGTACTATTATCATCCACCTTCCGGTGACCTTTGACCATCTTGGCAAAACTCTTAGACAAAGGAGTATATCCCTTTCTGGCCCAATTCTATGGTTTTCAGTCTATTGAATTTAATGGTTGTATCTTGGTGTATCGTAGGTGTGTGCATGTTCATACATAAACAATATTTAAGAAACAAAAATTTGGGTTTCTACTATAGATCATTTATTCTTTATTTTTATAAAAACTGTAGGTAAACAAAGTTCTCAATATCTCTTGGGTATGTTTTTTTTCTTCTGGCCCAGAAGTAAATTAGGGTAAATAGCGATATGAATCGTTATAATGATCAAGCTCAAGTTGGTCTTGTACAGAGTTAGAATGACCAAAGAAAAGTTTGTCGGGATACAGAAAGCAATTATCACCCTATATCTGAAATAGTCATATAGGTCATAGTGACATCACTTCATACAGTGACAAAAGTGACCAGTCATTCAGCTGGTTTACAGGTGCCTGTGCTGAGGCTAAATCTGCCTCCTCCAGCAAATGCTACAGCTTATAAGTACATGGTGCCATTTCTGTTTAGAAATATATCTTTCCAGATAAAAAAAAAATTCCAGCTCACAGTCCTCAATTTGGGGAAACCCAAGACTCGCTATTTCCCCTTCATGGAGTATGTTTGGAACATAGTAGACGAATCCAGATCATTTGAATCTGGCTTCTCCAGAAACACAGAAGAATTTTCATACTATATGTAATTCTTATACTCTGCTCCCTGTGTAGATATATGTTATACTATTTCCCACGTGGGGCATGTGTATATATAATTTTGGGTTTATCTTAGTGTTATATAAATCTCTCTGAGAACAAAGCATGTTTGTCATTCCTTTTCTTTTCAACCAATCCACTCCATCAGTGGAAAAAGAAAGGTGTTATTATATCATGGATATAATAATGCCCATAATGAGGGAAATATAAATGGGAAAATAAATCTTTTTACCATAGCCCTTTCCCATTATAGGTTTATACTTCTTTGTTAGGGGTTTAAGCGTGGTTATAATGGTTCAGCTCAAGTCAACCATGTCCTGAGCTGGAACAACCAAAGAAAAGGTTGATTCACTTCATAAGTGAAGGTTTTGGAAGACACATGTAAACACTGTGCATTTGAAAGTGGAAAAGAGAGTTCAGTTATTAGCGGACCAGGTAAATGAATGTGTCCCAGTGGTGATGTAATTTACACATGGCCCTACATCTTGGAAAAATGGAGAGAAAAAGAGTCAGAAGACTTAATCAGCATTGTCTAATGGTGTTTGATGAAACCAAGTGGAGTAACCATATTTCTGGTTCCTTTACTACTAGCATCATGGAAAATATATTTCTTTTTCTCTTTTTTCTTTTTCTTTTATTATTCATTATCATTATTTTAGTTATGGATTTTATTTAATTTCCCCAGAGGTCACCATAACTCACATATAAGTAACGTATCTGATTTATCATCTAATAAAGTAAACAGTAAAAAATTTATCTAGTTCTCCTATTAAAGTGAACATAAAAAACCTGTCCATATTTTTTCTGCAGTGGAATACTTTTCATAGGGCTAAAAGAAAACTATTTCTTTTGAAGAATTTTAGATAAAACATTATTTAATGAAAGGTGATTGGTATGCCTTTTGCTGACCACTAATTGCAGGACTGCACATTTACAGGATTCAGCATTTGCACCCAGGTATTCTAAGACACTATTTTAATTGTATACGCTTTACTTTCAAAATGAGAACAATGCTATGAGCCGCTGCTTTGTGGAACCAGCTCTCAAGAGGATGCTCCCCTGATCACTACAATCTTAACCTGTTCAAGTCTAGAGTTAACTGTTATCTTCTCCATATATCTACATAAACTACCTCGAGTGACTCTCGGGGCTTGTACAGGGTGAGCATCATTGTAAAATAAAAAATGCCAATTAAAATTGGATTAACACATGATCTTTAAAAAAAAAAAAGAGATTGAATTGACTATATAAAAGCAAATAAAAAAAAAAGTATAATATTCACGTTTCATAGTTGAGAAGGGGTCAAAAATACCCAAAGTATGAATAAAATAAGCAAAAAGAGAGGAATAGTATGTGACCTGCTCTAAATATACAGTGGGAAAAGAGTTGCTCCTTTTTTCTGTAGTGTGTGGAGGGGGAGGGTTTTCAAACAAATGAAAAAATCTCACTAACTTTACAAGGGAGACAGTAAAAATTATTTGGGAGGGAAATGAAAAAAAAAAGTTAATCTTTGCAAGATTTAAAAAAGAAACATAAATAAAAAGTGGGGTAAAGATAAAAACTGAAATGTGAATCTTGCAAAGGATTGAAAATAAGGCCCTGCGTGCTAGATGCTACAGTCACTGACCCAGCTGAGAGTAACAGGCTTAACCTTAGTAGGGGTGCCAAAGTGAATTTCACTGTCTTCACAGGCACTCTGCTACTCAGAAAAGCCACTCAAGTCTGACTCTTTTTCTCACAAACTAGACTTTGCCCCAATTATCCACCTTGCATGAAAATCAATCCAGTTCAATTTTTAGAAAATTATATTTCTATTCTATTTTAATTAGCACTATTCTCCTTTAAAATGTGAAGTGGTAGATATGCCTTAATTAATTTTTTCTGCTTCACACTAATATTTATTGTGTCACCAGTGATGAAAATATCCCAAATAAAAACCACTGTTCTTCATTGTTTATGCATAAAATAATTCAGAATTGGAATGGAGGAGAGGAAAATAGAAATAAGTGAAACACCATGGATTGAAAACTTGTTAAATAATGCTCAGCCTGAATATAAAATTAAATTACAGGAATTTGAAATAAAAAAGTATTCCCTGTGATTCTATTTAACTCTTACAGAAATTTTGATAACTACTATACATGTTTGTATACATTTTAGGTAGGTGCATGTTTCTATGTAATCCATTAAAAAAAAGAAGCATACAAAAACTTGGGTTTCTGTCATGGCCCATTTATTCTCTTTTATATATAAACTGTAGTGAAACAAAGTTCTTAATGTCTCTTGTGTATGTTCATTTTCTTTTTGGTCCAGAAGTTAGGTTAAGTAAGTATAAGCATTGTATTAATGGTCAAGCTCAAGTCAGCCTTGTGCAGAGTTGGAATGACTAAACAAAATTGGAAAAAGAGTTCAGTCATCAGTGGACCAGGGGAAACTAATGTTCCTTAGTGGGAACGTAATAACCATGTGGTTCTACGTCTTGGAACAAAAAAGAGTTAGGAAAGAAAATGTTTGTTTTTTATAGACTTAATCAGCACCTAAAGGCATTTGATGAAACCAAATGAGGTAATCATATTTCCTGTTCCCTTACTCTTAGCATCATGGTGAAATGTATGTATTTCTTTTTTTTATTATTTATTATCATAATTTTATTTACTGATTTTTTTTTTTTTTTCCACACAACATTGAGAATCATTCATGTTAAAAAAATCATTTCCTTAGTTGTATCATTCATCAGTCCATAGCCCAATAATGAAAAAAATCATTATTTGGCTATCGACCTCTTGATAATAGAACAGCAAATTTCTTTTCACTTATTTTTCTTGCAACTTAATTCAACTGCTTTTAAACAATATATACTCTTTACTTTATATTATATATCTTAAACATTTCCTATTTATTCATCATCATCATCATTATTATTATTATATTTTTTTTCTTTTTTACAGCCCCGCTTGTAAAGATCAAACAGGTTCTGCAGCAACTAAAGAAAGAATGTGCTCAGATGGATGTGCGGATAGGAGTGGTCGAGCACGTCTTGCTACAGGCCAAATTGAAAGACAAGAACATTCAGAATAAGCAGGCACATACTGTAGAAAGTCAAGAATTTTAAGTGTTTTTACAATCTCCGCCATTTCTCTATCTTCCTTCTGGAACTCATTGGTTGTTCAGTGACTAATTCAATTCATGATTGATGAGAACAAATATGTAAGGCTTGAGACCACATAAGGATATATTAGGTTGGTGCAAAAATAATGACATAATAATGTCGTTTTTGACGTTAAAAAATACGTCAAAAAACGACATTATTACGTCATTATTTTTGCACCAACCTAATATCATTGCACTAAAGCTTATAACTTTGTAGATAGAGTTTAAAGAATACAACTATAAACATAGATACTTTTATAATGAATATGTCTAGTTAAAAAGCATGCATGTGAACATACATATATAAAGAATGTGTGTGTGTGTGTTAATCCTGTAGACTTCCACTGGAGTATAGACCCACAACTTCACGATGCTAGGTGTATGTCTGTGTGAATATATATATACATATATATATATATATATATATACACACACACACACGCTCGCACACACTTTTTTCTTACTGGTTAAACAAGTGTGATACTGGTATGGAAAATGTATATTTAGTTTTAATAGAAATTATAGCTCTGTTATTATACATCAAGCATTATTTTGTTAACACCAGCACTCAATGTACAATATTTTATATTCAAATATATATGTAATATATTTTATATATCCCGGTTTTATCTTTCTAGAAATGTGAAAAAAATAGAGAATAGAAATTTTATTTTAATTACTAGCTTGGGACTACTATTACTATTAGTAAAAAAAAAAATATAAATCAGAGATCCTCCTTAGTGAATGATCTTGGGATAAAAAATGATTTTACTGAGATATATTCCCCCTCTTAATTGATTTAAAAGAACTATTCAGAAAGAAAATTACAATTTAAAAAAATAAGCCCTCCTGAAATTAGAACTCCCTCCCACTCCTTGTTGGCATGTGGCCCCAACACAGTTGAGAGGTTCAGGATAGTAAGCATCAGCCCTGTTGATTATTATAGCTGATGATTGACAATATAACTTAGTAAAAAGTAGAAAAAGCCAAAACACATTGCTGAAACTAGCCCCTTTTTTTTTGCTCCAACCCTGTTGAGGGTTCCTACATAGTATGCACCACATCTGCCATGCAGATACACAATGTATATTATTAGTTGATGACTGACAATGTAACATTAGTTTAAAAAAAAAAAAAAAAATGGTGGATGGCCATAAAACAGTGCTGAAAAAATGGCAAAAGCCACAATAAACCTCCCCCCAGTCAGGGGTAAGATGCAACAACCCTGATAATATTGTTGTTACTCATGGCTAGTGCAAGGATCTTGTGGGTACCCATCAAATCTGATACTACATCTCGATTTTCATAACGTAGTATTCATATAAAATAAAAATTTTATTATAACCTAATTATGTATAATAATGAATCATATGCAATATAGGTAAACAATTCAACAAGAAAAATTGAAAATAAATACAATCTATCTAAATAGAAATTAGAGGCATGTCATAGTAGATCTTTCCATCTTAAATAAATCAATAATGTTTTGCAGCAATATTTAATATCAACTTGATTTTTCTTGTTAAAAAGTTGAATAATTTTAACACATTCAACATTATGGATAAAAAGAATAGTGAATTTTATATAATTTTTTTTCAAGACTTAGCATGAGCAAAACAAATTCAGATTGTGTAAAAAAAATAAAAAGAACTCAGAATAACATCAAAATCCACAAAAATTCTTCATCCTTTAATAGTCAGGTGTGCTTAGCTTAATTTGTAACATATAAAAATGTATATAGGAAAAAAAACAAATGTCAATAAGATAGCAAGAATGACAAAGCACTGCCTGAAACCTCAATCAGCCCCCACACTCTTCAGTCAGTGGTGGGCAGTATATGTTGGCCTAGCTGTTACTAATTTCCAGATATCATTTTGATGTTCTCCTATCGGTCAAGACCAATATTCCTCTTTCATAGCTACAATTCTTTTTTAAAATTTGTTGTATAAGAGTAAGTGTCATTGCTGACACTGGTTTGAAACTAGATCGCCAGTGAGCAACACAGGCGATTCTATTATTAAGTAGATCACATGATCATAAAGGAAGTGAATAAATAGGAAGTAGCGTGATGACTATACATTCACTGTTCACTCTTCTTGTATATCCACTAGTGCGGATATTATTCGAAGATGTTATTACTAGTACCAGCATCTATGAAGTCTCAAATATAGCGAGCATTTTTAGAAGTGATAATAAGCTTTTGCTTGACATAGAAAAAGTGACAAGTGAAGCTGTCCGACATCACAATTTTTTTTTTTTTTTTTAACTGTGTCACGTCAGTATTGTCATTTAAGATTTTTAAAACATTTTTGACCAAGTCCTGCTGGCATCAGTTTAAACTGCTACCTTGTCTTTTCCTATACGTCTAGTATTATAAAAATTTAATTTTGGAAAGTGAAAATTTCACTGAAATATAGTGGAAGATTTCCAAGAAAATGTAGACCTCAGACAAAATGGTCACATTATATGGAAAAAAAACTTGTTTAAAGAATATTTTTATTTACTTAAATTTAGTAACCTTTTATCAAACCCAGTGACTCAATGCATATCCTCCTGATGTCTGATTAAATTGATGCTTTCTTTGTTCCATATATCTCAGCTATAATTATAAACATTAATTTTGGAAATTAAACATTTCATTGAAAAATGTTGGAAAATTTCATTGGAAATGAAGAAAATGTGAACTTTAAGCAAAATAGTCACCATATAAAAAAAAAGAAAAAAAGGAAGGTGTAAATTGAAACTGAAACCAGGAAAATATAGGTTAAGAATCATTAAAAAAATATATGTAAATAATATTTTTATTCCTGTTATCTAAACTTTTACTTAGCTTTTACTTTCTTAAACTTGAAAATTATTAATTCTATCAAAATTTCTCTTAACAAGATGTTAGTATGTCTTATAGCTTCACCTGTAAAAACACTAAACTTATTTATTTTCTATTGATTCACTTTGCATCAGTTGTAAGGAAAAGCCTTGAACACATCTGTCAGCCATTAGAGAACCATGTTGTCTGTTGCCATAACAGTGGGACTGGTTGTGACAGCATCTTGACGTAAGAAGCTCAGGCATAAAATGCATCTTTTACTTACAACTCTGTTCAGATTATTTGCAAACTCCATTTATCTGTCACAGGCTTGTCTAACTGATGTTTAAATTTAGTCTCCAATCTTGCTTGATTTTCCTGGAAAAGTGCCTTGGCTTCCATGTTCATACTAAGTAAATCATAAAAATTGCCCGGTTCACACTCCTTCTTCATCTTTTGAACAGGAGTTCATTTTCTCTTTAGGGGTGGGTTTCTGGTTCCTCCTCCTAAAGTATTTTCATTCTCTTTCACCCTCAGCTAGCCTTACTTGGGGTGAAATGAATAAAAGAAATGCTAACATATATTATAAATATTGGCAAAGTTTAACAAACGTATCCACAAAATGACTCAAAAGAACATTTTTTTTTCTCTTGACACCACTATTACTGTATACTACTTCGGTAATTTTTATGGTTTTAAAAAGCTATTTTTAGAATTTTACACACATATGAAACTGTGTTTATGCATTCTCTCTTTCTCTCAATTGACAACAAGCTAATCTAGTAAATAAATAGTATTTATTATTTTTGTTGTCAATTCTCAAGAACAAAGAAAATGTATAAATTCACTTTCATATTATAGGTTTTATTATAATTCGCACCATTGCTTTTTAAAACAATGAATAATGCCGAGTTGTGAAGGTAGTTAAAATTATATGAATGTCCTGGAAAAAATCTCACTATGGATTTTTTTTTTTTTTTTTTGCGGGCATGAATGTCCAAATTTGCTTCTTTGTGCTTATAAATTTTCTGGGTAAAACTGCATTATTTTCATTAGCAAACTTCATTTTCCATTAAGTGTAAAATCTATATACTTTGATCTGGTGCATAATTTCTAGAGTACAGACAGTACTTCTACAGTAAGACTGTCTACAGCCTGTTTCCTGCCAATTTCTTGCTTGGCATCACCAAGATAGGAACTAGTTAACTAGGATGCTGTTCATCCCCACAAAGATATTTGTTATAAGGTTCGCAGTCTTAAACATCTCAGCATTGCTTATTCAATGTCTTGACAGAGGAAAACCCTGTATACAATAATTTCTTTATAAATGGCAATTTTTGCCAAGATATTTACAGAGTAATGATGGATGTCTAAGACTGTGAACTTTATAGCAATTATCATTATGAGGCTAAATAACATCCCAGTCAACCATTTCCTATCATCGTGGTGTGATGCCCAGCAAGAAATTGGCAAGAAACAGTTTGCAGATTTTATGCTTTGCATGAAGATAACACCCAAAAATATACCTTGTTTTTTTCTTTTTCTCTCTTGCCTTCTTGACTGCAGACGTCACCTAAAACCTATGTTGTTAACTTTGGAAAGATTACAGTACATTTCATGTTTCACTCTTGAAAGTATTTGGAACCGGCAGCTCCATGAAAATTTAAACTGTCAACGTCTATTTTTTTTTTCTTGGGGGGGAAATAGGTAAAAAAAAAAAAAAAATAGAAGAGCGCTAATAAAAATATTTCCATGTCCTGATAAAGTGAGTTCTTTCAACAGCTGTATCAATATTGTCATTGTATTTTTCAGACTTTTGGTGGGTAACATATGAAATTTATATTATTCCAACATTGTTGCTATTTTCCTTTCACCTGAATCTGTCAAGATTTGCAATAACTTACATGCAAAAAAAAAAAAATAAAAAAATAATAATAAAATGAAATAAAGAACACCTGGCCACTATCTTAATAATTAATACCTTGTCTTGAAAATGCACATTCATTTACCACATGAATAGCATGGAATTTAGTAATTTATACACATCTTTTAAGAATTTTTATTTGAAAAAATTGGCTTAAAAAGGGATGGAGTTTTTTCTATTCAATAACTATAACCTCTGATTCAGAGGTCCCTATGTTTTTTTGGGGTTTTTT